AGGGTTAAAACCGAGATAAGGAAAGCAAAGAGGAATAATGAGGTAAGGATAGCAAGGGAGGCAAAGACAAACCCCAAAGGATTCTACCAAATGTATCAAACTAAAACACGAGAAAAGATTGGACCATTACGGTCAGACTCTGGCGAGCTCACTGATAACGACGGAGAAATGAGCAATAATTTGAATAAATATTTTTCAACAGTTTTCACCACCGAAAATTTAAACATGATACCCGAGGCACCGACCCTATTCAGAGATAGTGAAGAAAACAAATTAAGTGAGATAGTAGTGACTAGTAACGATGTTAGTAAGCAAATAGACAAACTAAAACTTAATAAGTCACCTGGTCCCAATGAGATATTTGCCAGAGTATTAAAGGAATGTAAGGAAGAGCTTAGTATGCCCTTAGCAAAGTTGTTTAACATGTCCTTAAAAACAGGTGTAGTACCAGAATCCTGGAGGATAGCGAATGTAATACCGATTTTCAAGAAGGGGGATAGATCACTATCCTCTAACTACCGCCCAATCAGTCTAACATCAATAGTAGGCAAATTACTGGAAGCAATCAATTCAAACTCTATTCGAAATCACCTGGAGAAGCACTGATTAATCAATGATTCCCAGCATGGCTTCACAAACGGACGTTCTTGCCTAACTAATCTATTAACATTCTTTTCATCAGTTTTCGAATCGGTGGACGAGGGGCACAATTATGATGTGGTATATCTCGACTTTAGCAAAGCCTTCGACAGAGTCCCCCACGAAAGACTAATTAGAAAGGTAGAAGATCATGGCATCAAAGGTGACATCCTTAAATGGATTAGGGCGTGGTTTCAGGACAGGAAACAGCGAGTGAGCATTAACGGCACTAAGTCCCATTGGAGCAACGTCACAAGTGGAGTTCCCCAAGGCTCAGTACTTGGACCATTATTATTTATTATATACATAAACGACATAGATATCGGCATAGACAGCAACATAAGTAAATTTGCTGATGACACTAAAATAGGACGTGTTATTAAATCTACAGGAAGATCTAAACAAATTTTTCGAATGGTCTGAAAAATGGCAGATGAAATTCAACGTGGACAAATGTAAAGTACTCAGTATAGGAGATGTAAACAGGGAAACCAGATACCAGATGAACAACGATGCCATAGAGAAATCCGACTGTGAGAGAGATTTAGGAGTAATGATAAGCAGGAACCTTAAGCCAAGTAAACAATGTGTTTTTGCTCGTAACAAGGCTAATAAAGTACTTGGGTTCATACAAAGGAGTGTTAGTTACAAGACTAGCGAGGTCATCCTAAAACTGTATCTTGCTCTTGTGAGACCACACCTGGATTACGCAGTTCAGTTCTGGTCACCGTATTACAGAATGGATATAGAATCCTTGGAAAGAATTCAGAGGAGAATGACAAGACTAATCCCGGGCATTAGGAACCTTGAGTATAGAGACAGGTTAAGGCATCTTAATTTGCACTCCCTCGAGAGACGTAGAGCGACCTGATAGAGGTGTATAAGTGGAAGGCAGGGTTAAACAAAGGGGACATTACAAAGGTACTCAAACTATCCAACCAGGAGCGAACTCGTAACAATGGTTCTAAATTAGACAAATTTAGATTTAGGCGTGAAATAGGTAAACACTGGTTTGGAAACAGAGTAGTGGATGAATGGAACAAGTTACCAAATATCATCATTAACTCGAATACGCTGAATAGCTTCAAACATAGGTTGGATGCTTATATGAGCAATAGGGGTTGGGTGTAAACGGGACTGCCCAGTATGGGCCAATAGGCCCGCTGCAGTTTCCTCCATTCTTATGTTCTTATGTTATGCCTAATGCAAACTATAGCATATACTGTATATATTCAAACTAATCAATATCTTCTAAGAATTCCAGCAATGTTAATTATATTCTCCCAGGTCAGTTCAGTGACATTTTATAAGAGAAAAACCTAGTCACTCTAAGGACAGATAAATAAATAAGCACTAGACCTTGGCATCAACTGTCAAACATATCACCTCCCTCCCTCCTCCCAGCCAGTAAACAGACCATTTCACATCCCATAATTTTAGCCGTGTTGATTTATGAGTGTTTCTTTTAACATAATACTACAAAAAACAATGTTTTGTTTATTCTAGAAGATGGGTTGAGGTGCATCTGGGTAGACTGTCAGTCTTTATAGTATTTTGTGTTTCTCTCAAGTACCAAACTAAATAATTCCATTGAAACAACACTTCGATTTAGTGCGAATTCGGTTTAAAGCGACCTCTCTTGGAATGTATCTCGCGTTATATCGGCGTTCTACTGTATTAACAATGATCAATGTGGCCCAGAGCCTACAAAAGGCTGGGGACCACTGATATAAAGTATAACTTTCAAGTGTCTTGTATCTACCCTAAACCAAAGGCAGTGAATATTTTTCCAGTCTTAACATGACATTCTATAACTAAGCTTTACATGGGAGAATCAGTCTAGTTGTTGAGCTTAGACCAAAACCTGCAAAACACAGTCAAACATATAATGGTATTCTGTATTAAAAAAGTAAATGCTGAAATGATCCTTTAAAGTCTAAATAGATGTTTTGTTCACGGAAGAAGTATTTTTATGCGTTTGTTCACCTTAAAGTATGGTATCTGTACTGTATACGTACTTCATTGCCCAAGTAATGGCAATGCCTATTTGACCTTGTAAAGTAAAATACATTGCCACTTACAAAAGTGTAAGAAAGTCCATTAATTTTGGTCATCCATGCATGTACATTTTAAACTGAAACTAAAGACAATTCAGATGGAACAGGCTGGTAAAATATACTATAGTTTGTATATCGTATTAAAATATGACAAACCATGAAAAACAAAGTTTACCGCTTTCTCAGCTAGTCAGAAACTACTACTTAATACAGTACAATACCACATATATTTCTACCAATACTCACTTCTTTCTTATTAATATAACTTCCTCTTATCAATCAAGACTTGATATATTATTCATATATTTTAAGTAAAACAGCATTCTTATTATTAGCTTTAATAAATTTAGTTTATAAATGCTCTTGTACTCATATTGAATAAAACTGTCGGTTTTCATTTAAAATAATGTAAAACTATTATCCCCCACCAAAACAAAACAAACAAGAGAATTGTTCTTATTGGCATTATCTCAAATCCATGAAATCACAATGAACTTATCGGGGCAAGATAATGATTGGGGCCCCCCATTCCTACCAGGGCTTCCCTCTTGTCATGCCCAGCCCCTCATCCACATACACTTAATCCTGATTTTCTATGAGAACATCTTGATAAAAGCATACACCCAATATTATACAGTATACAGGTACTCCCCGACTTACGACGGGGTTAGGGACCAACGTCCAGGTCGTAAGTCGGAAATGCTTAAATAACACCTAGAAAATCGAAAATTTGGGTCTCTTTCTTCTCAGCACCACAAAACACTCACTTTTAAGCTTGCCAGCCATTTTAAAGTGAATTACAGATGAAAATTTTGTCTGTGTAATGACTTTGGAACTCGATACATAATTTGACCACATTTTGGTACGATTGAGGCGGTCGTAAGTCGGGGACTACCTGTATATAGTTATACAAACATACATATAAATATATAACAGAAATGTAAATCAGTGTCAGTTGTCAGGTTTTTATATACAGAAACCACCAAAGCTCAGACTTACTGGCACAAGATTGCTGAAGCACACGTGCCTGCTTTTTTTAGATGCACATGCCACACAACACATCAGAATTAAAATATGAATCCTACCATAAAAAAAATATTTATATATATATTCAAGAAGGGACCCCTAAGTGATTGAAGCCCTGTGCAGCCACACAGACCGCACATAGCTGGAACTTGTTAAATTACCTAAAAAGATCACTATTTAAGGGTTGATAACCACACCATCTTCATTTGTAACTAGAAATATTCAATAACATTCACAAATTCTAATTTTATGCATTTTTCTCACCCATAAAGACATTATACAACCTTGACACACTACCATATTTGTTCTATACTAACTCTCTAATAAAGTACACACATGAGAACTTTTATAGTGGAATCTCTCAAGTAGTATTCAATAGTTTTCCATAAACATAATAAAAAATACAGTAAGCCCTAAAAATTTTTCTTATTATTCTAGCTTTCAACATGACCATATTCCCATCCCAATTAAATGGGTAGACCAGATGCATCATAATTCATAAGAAAAAACTATTTTGATCAAATGTTATGTGTGTGTGTGTGTGCAGTACTGTACTGTACTCCATTTTTGTCTTATCTTATACCTTTGCACACCCTGGGGAAGTTCAACAAATCTTTGCTACATCAAAATAAAATGTGTATTAATTTCTCAGTGAATGTTTTTTGAAAAGGATGGCATAAAAAGTAGTATAGTATAGTATCCTTAATGGTCGCATGAAGAAAATTTTCAGAAAGATCTATATTTTGTTAAATAAAAAGGGTTTGAACCATGGCCTCTCACATTAAGATACCTGTAGGATTGTACAGACAAGTGGATCAGTCTCTTTAACCCCATGTGTATGGGGTCCTGTCTGTGCCAAATAAAATAATAAAATTGTCTGGCATTAGTCAAATAAATTGTTAAAAAGGGCATCCCTGTAGTGATGGGGTTAATGTCTAATGAAAGGATGTTTACATTCCATCTACGCTGTCTTAGGTTCGACAACCCTGCAACGCGTGAAGTGAAGACCGACAAGTTTGGTGCTTTCAGGGCCCCTTGGGATAAATTCATCTCACATTGCAAGGAAAACTACATACCTGGGGAATGTCTTACAGTGGACAAACAGTTGCTCGGGATTCTGCGGAAAACCTTCAAAAAGATATCAGGGATTTTAATACTGTAGAAGGATAGCCCACTCCAATGGGCAAATGCATTTACCTCCCAAAGTGGTGCTGCCAAACAGCTGGGGAGTAAACTAAATAATTAGCAGACAAGGAATAATGGGAGTTAGACGAAATATTCGAAAAAATCACGATTTTATTTTTGTGCATTTCTTTATAGCAGCTACAATGAGGCCCTGGTATTGTGCAGCTATTAATTGCTATAGCAACTCCCTAAGAAACGAAACCTTTCTTCGATTTCAATAAGACAGAAAGACGAGTCGTACAGTACAGTACAGTACACCTACTTCTGTCAATGTTGACTGTTCATTAGTTCATATGGGTGTGTTTTTTATTGAATCTATTTAGTATTGACAACGTTCCACTCTTCAGAATTGCTTATTAATATCAGAGTATCATTAGAATATATAAGATGAGAAGGATACTGTTGTAATACAAAAGTATAAGGCTGGAACTGTGAAGTTTTGGGTCATTCGTTTTAGGACCACCCACGACTTTTTAGACGAAATCACATTTTTCTTATATACAGTATTTTGATTGTATGGCAAAAGCATACAAAAAACAAATCACTCCAAACCTAACAAAACCTGACCTAACTTAACCAAATCTAACGTTTGTCTGTGAAACCACAAACAATATTGGGCATCAAAATAGCCCATGAAAAATTATCACGAACTACAAAGGCCACTTGCTGTCCTTTCCTCAGCATGGCCACCTCTAGTGGGTGGCCATTAGGTAAACAAGATAAATATATACTTAAAATAGGAACCTAGAATGTAGTGTATATGAATGTGACATAAGCAAATGTTTGCACGAAGATGTAAATATTGCAGTGTGGCATTCTAGGTGAAGCGAGATGAAAAGGCCCAAATACTCTTAGTGGAGAAGAATACCCCTTCATATATTCAGGTGGTGAAAAGCTGGAGGTGCTGAAATTTTTGTAGAGCAGAAGTAATTAAGTCGTGTAGAGGGATTTCAGGCAGTGTCAAAAAGTTCTAATCATCAAGTTTTATATTACACCCATGGACTTAGCAATAATTCAGGTTTATGCATTAACAAATAATGGTGAGAATAAGGTAGACGTTTTATGAAAATTTAAAGAAGGTAAAAAGTAACTGAAATTTAGTGAAGGTTAGTTAGATTTACAATGGTCGATTTTCATACGAATGCAGGGAAGAGTAAAGAAGCAACAGACGTAGGACCACCTGGGTTATGAAAGAGGAGAAGGTTTATTGCAATTTGTAAACAAGATGATTACTGCCAATTCATAAGCCACCCTCAGACCTGAGGATGGCACAGGTGATTTGATATCTACAACATACAAACAATCTCAAAAGTTTTCCAAACATGCTAATAAGCAAATAAAACAGTAACTCTTTGATTAATAAATATACACTGTACAGTAAACCTTAGTCAATTTAATAAAAACGGTAAAATATCAAGTGCTCCTCCTGCAGTAGCTACTGTATGTTTTAGATATATTATGATCTACTCTGCTACAGTTACACTGCTATATAGTGGAAGAATATACAGTATTATCATATTTAATCTTATTATGTTATTAAAATGATTTACTGGTCTGTTGACCAAAACTTAAAATCACACTTTTATTAGAATAAACCGTCAAATTAACTGAAGGATTACTGACCAATAAGCTTTGTTCTAATAGTCATAAAACACACTTCACATATCCAAGCACAACCATACAACTGCAATGAAACTTGAGTGCATTTCCAAGCTCACAAATACTGTATACATACAGTACTGTACAAACAAAGTTGGATTATTACTTGGATTCTCCATTTGCCTTCTTGTAATGCTCTAATAGATGTTTCTTGTATGCTACCTGGTTAGCCCATAGTTCAGCTGCATGTCCATTAAGAGGACTGTCATTGTTTGGTTCTGTAGAAGTGCATAAAAAATATTGTGGTCACATTATAAAAAGCACAAAGTTATTCCTTCACATAAATATACATTATTTTGCTTTGACCAATTTGTACCTCTTCATGCCACCCATATTTACAGGAAGACTTAGTTCCCCTCATTTCATCTATAAAATCTACTTGTGCACTTCTTTCCTTTATTTTTCCCATACCCCCTTTTCCCAAAGTCTTTACTGAACTTCAAATACAGGTAATTCAGTTTCTACAAATCAATTAGCCTTCTACAATGAAAGTGAAATAAAATTCCTCAATCTTACTCAGATTCACCTACATTAAGCCATATTCGTACAAAAAATACCCAGTCTGCAATTTAAAGGTCATAAAAAATCTACCTTTTGTGGTATTCAATGATGTCAACCTTTTACACCTATACAGTACATGTTCTCTTATGTCCAACTCTGCTTTTGCAAACGAATCCAAAATGTTTTAATCAGGATTAACATAATTACTTAGCATTTAGATAGCTAAAATAAATCCGTTAATATCTTACCTCCCAGCAAAGACTGGATTGAGAGGAGAATGGCCCGAACATCATAAGATGCAGACCACTTTTCTTTTAAAATATCTAAGCAGATGTTTCCATGTAGATCAACATTAGGGTGGAAACAGGAAGTTATGAACTTGACTGTCGGGGCAGCATATGGGTAGCTACTTGGGAATTCTAATGACAATCTGTATGATAGTCCCTCATATACCTGCAATGGGGGAAAACTACAGTACATTCACTCACATGTTTTGCATTGATCAACAAATAGTCCTTCCCATACAAAGTTTTCTTTTTATTTAACTATATTAGGAGGGTTGAAGTTAATAACAACCTATTGAAAAATTTGAAGAACATGAGAAAATTGAATGTGGATGATAGGAAAGAGCATGGAAGACCAAGAAGGAGATTGAAGGTCATATTAGAAATAAGGGGCATGAATATTTAGGCAGCAGTGTGACTGAGTGGTGATGTTGCTGATAGGTGATACCATTCAGGTTGGACCTCGCTAATCGAGGAAGCTTGGGACCAGACCAGTTCCGGATTAGCAAAAATTCCGAAGCATCGAAGACGAGGTTAAAAAAAGAGAGGCAAAATAATGCATAAATTACTGGTACCAATACAACTTACCTCTGCATGATTCTAACTCAGGCTTACTGGACCGCTTCAGCCGGACAAAATTATTTGACAAGAAAAATTTAAACAATAATAATAATAAAAAAAAAATAATAAATAAAAAATAAAAAGTACCGTAGGAAAAATTTTTTCCTCTGATGACACGTTTACAAAATTTCAAGAGACGGAGGCATCAGTGCGTGGAACACAGGTCCCCGAGAGTTATCAATTGTTGTTTTGGGGAATATTATTTCACTGACTCTAGTAATGATGGTGTTTCTTATTATGTTATCAAAGGTAAATGTAAGGTTTATATAATTTGTTTATCACTGGGCCCATCACTATTAGACTACATATGTATTCCTCCTATACTATACATATTGTATTTCAATCGTACGCCTGGCAACGTGGGAGCCTGGGAGTGAGTGACCACTAGTTAGTGCGTCATCTGCTGTTGTAACTCTCCTCACTCCGTTTAAAAAACTTCATAAAGCAGGTTTGAAAATTAAGCTCTCTAAATGTGAATTTCTCAAATCTAAAGTTCAATTCCTTGGACACATAGTTGATGGAAACGGTATCCACACTATGGACTGCAAGCTTAAAGCAGTTGACCGATTTCCCTGTCCTACAGATGTTGACAAAGTGCGTAGCTTCCTCGGACTTTCCGGGTACTACCGTTCATCCATTCACGGGTATGCTAAGTTAGCCGTCCCGCTGACAAAATTAAAAAAAGAAAGAAAAAAGATGCAACATTTGTTTGGAACAATGAACAGGAAAACAGCTTTAATGCATTAAAGGAAGCATTGACCAGTGCACCAGTATTGGCATTCCCCGATTATACTCAACCTTTCACCCTGTGCACCGACGCCTCTGGACAAGGGCTAGGAGCTGTTCTCATGCAGCTAGACACTAGAGCATCGATTTTCAACTAATGTGCTGCGGGAGTTTAAATAGCATTTGGATAGCTTTTAAAAAATAGCATTTGGATACGTTTTGACATTACTGGTACTTTTATGGAGTGCATTAAACTCCTTTTTTCCAATGATGCAATAAATAAACAAATGTGTTGTTCATTAAAAGCCCAAATGGCAGTTTTAAATTATTTCCTTAATTCCGCAGTGTAGATCCGCCGATCTCCACTGCCAGCTGTAAGATGCGGTAATGTGCGAGTGAGGCCCCAGCTAGGGAATCTGTGTGAGCGGGCAGTCTGCCTAACGTGCCCAGGGATCTAAGAGGCTCAATACGCTCGTCTCTGTGATGCAGTGTTTATTTCGACCCAACAGTTATTTTGTTAACAAATATTCATAGTCATTTCTTTTTGGTAATTGTTAAGTAAATACCGGCAGACATTTTTAGCATTCAAAAGTACATTTTTAAGTAGATAGTTGAGCGCCAGTATAAAGACTGCTTGTCCTTCGGATTCATTTCATCCGGAGAAGAAGAACCACGTCCTAAGTGTGGTGTTGCAGCGAGAAGATGGCAAACCAAGCTATGGTTCCAAGTACTGTAAGTTGAAAAGACACCTTCACACAAAGCACTCACATTTATGCGAGAAACCAATTGAATATTTTAAAAGGCTTATAGCTGATCAAACACACCTGTCTCAACAATTCACCAAAAATCACAATTATTTCTGACAAAGCTCAAGAATCAAGTTTTGCTGTTGCAGAAATCGTTACAAAAAAGATGACATCACATACAATTGCAGAGTCAGCACGCTGTAAAATTGTAAATACAGTATTATGTTTGGTGAAAAATATAAGAGAGATTTTGAACATCCCCATGTCAGATAACACCATTAGTCGTCTTATATCTTCTATGTCTCAAGACGTTGAGTCACAGGTGATAGCTAGCATTAAAGAAGACAAATGTTTTGCCATCAAGATGGACGAGTCAATGGACATCACTGGAGGAGCACAACTCTTAACATTCATCAGGTTTGTTTGTAATGAAGAAATAACTGAACAATTTTTATTTTGCAAACGACTTCCAGAAACAACAAGAGGCCAAGACATTTTTGAGGTTGTCGTCAGCTATTTCAGTTCTTACGATTTGTCGTGGAAATCACACATAAGCATCTGCACAGATGGTGCCCCCTCTATGTCGGGAAGCCTAAAAGGATTCATTGCACTGGCCAAACAAAAGAACCCTGGCATTGTTTTCACACACTGTTTCCTGCACAGAGAGGCCCTCATTTCAACATCAGTAGTACCTGAGCTCCAGAAAGTATTAGAGGAGACGATCAAAATAGTTAACTATATCAAAAGTAAGCCATTAAAATCAAGGTTGTTTTCAACACTGTTCTGCCATGGAATCTGCCCACACACAACTTCCACCAGTTCCCTCACACCATCTCGGCCATCATCAACCCAAGTGTTAGCACAAATTTTCATTTAAAATCTATTTTCTTACTACTGTATTATAAATTTGGCTTCTGTTATTGTATTATTATTGTATTTATTGTTATTATATTATTGCAAATAAAACATATTGCATTAAATAGATAAATTACAGTTTTTAGGGAGCGTTTCCCCTAACTCCTGCCATTTCCTTTATTTCTTATGGGAGATTTAAGTTTGATTTACACGTTTTCAATTTACATGGCCATTCTCAAGAAAACAACTACCGTGTAAATCGAGACATGGCCGCATTAATGTAAAAGACGTGTTAAGGTGCACGGAGTAATATCAACAGTGAGAAATAATTAATGAAGATAAAAAGCGTTGCATGTAAAAAAGGAAAACATTCTGGAGGGTGTACAAGTGTATAATGTTCACTGTCTAAGTGGATATATATTTCAACTATTCAACATTAAAGGTAAACCACACAGTCAAGATAACCACAAAGAACACCAAGATAATGAAGTTGTTCATACAGTAATATTTTAAATATAAAAACTAAACTAGTTTATGCCACAAAAATCAGTGTTACTCCTAAGTAAGTTTATGGCAGAAGTGTTAAATACTGCAGAATAAAAGGCACTCAAGTGACGAGTACATGACACGATTATCATGAACAACTGTACTTCATTACTAAACAATTGTATGTGTAGGTATGTGTGTGTCTGCCTGTGTCATCATTTTGTTTGTGTTAGTGGATAGTAGTGTAAATCCATTATACTATCATGAGTACATTACTGTAAACAATTTAACCATAAAAAATTTATGGAAAAGACTTACTGTAGATGCTGGACCTGTGAGTGTTCCAACCCACTTAAACAAGTTGTCTCCATCTGGGAATGCAGAAATTCCTTTGTCCATGGATATCATCAGAGTCATCAATTCATGCTGAAGTCTGAAGTGCAACAAACACAGATTTGTTTGTATGTTATATTTGGTAACTAATCTCTTTATGTGTTACAAATAGGTTTGCTTTAGCTCACATCTATGGCATATACTACAGGGTAACAGTATCAACATAAAAGCATTCCATCATTTATGCTAAAAACTAAACCAGACTAAAAGTTGCACACCTCTAACTTATCAACTGTTTCTTATGTTGTCAAACCTAGTGCTGTAACTCTTTCCTCAAGACTCTCATCAGTTTTATTACTGATACCCCACTTTTGGATTTTTTCATTACTGCTGATAGTAGTACATCAGTCCTTGACAACTATTAAAAAAAAAAGAAGATAATACTGTAAGGTAACAGTAACTTGGGAGTATTTAGTACACTGAAAAAAATAGGACAAATAAAGCACGTTATAGAAGCTCTCCTCTGGAAAATGCTGGAGAATTATAATATTCCCTTTTACCTAAGAAAAAGATGTGGGCACAATAGAAAAGGTGCAGATAGGACTTGTACAGTTTATATCTCCTTTGATTAAATTACCTTACAAGAGACTGGGAAAAATAACATCATGATAGAACTATACATGCCACTTAGGGAATATGATAAGTTTTCTATACTGTATTGCAGGCATGAACAACCTTTCCTTAGTCATGGGCCGCGATACGATTTAGGTATTTTTCTGCGGGACAACCCAGTGAAATTTATATCCTACCTAACCCAAAACACGGGCGGATCCAGGAATCTCAAGGGGGGGGCGGGGGTTCCAAAAAGTTGAGGGTGGGTGAACATGGCAAGTACAGCAAGCCTACCCAGCTGGGGGGTTTTGGGGGAGGGGAGGGGTGCAAGCCCCAATTTTTTAAATCTGACCAATATATCATGGGTATTTTGAGGCCATTTTGAAGCCATGTGCACTTGATATTAAGAGATATTCTGAGGTCAATAATAATTACTTTTTACTGTTATGCTGAGGCATAATTTGGCATTATAATTTTGTAAACTAGGTGTTTTGATTATTTTCTGTCCCAAGCAGCAGATATTTTGGCTAGTTTATTGAAATTTTCTTGTATATATTGATGTATTAATTATGTAAAAAAATTCTAGAATGTATTGCATCATTTGTTCTGATTTACTTCTTATTGTAAGCCTAGATCATTCTAGAATTCTCCAGGTGGGTCTTGAGCCGACCTCCCGCATCTGGACATTGCTAGAATGGTCTAGGTGTCTGACGACCCATATATAAGCGGGAGCGGGCTGCCTAGGAGCGAGTTGCTCGCATCAGTTCCTAGTGTAAAGGCTAGGCCTAGCAGAACAACTGAAGACAATTGTTGTGCAAGTATTGTGGAATTGTTGTGATTAATATAAAGTGAGAAGACTAAGGAATTGTACACTGTTAGTGTGATAACTATATATTCGAAGTGTGGAGTCAAGCTGTGAAGCCATTACCCTGTTACAGTGTTGTGAAGAATTACTGTTTATTAAAGAAGACTACAGTGAACAAGTGTGTTTCTGTGACCTGGTGGAAACCTACCTGCCTGTTGTTTGTCTGTACACTGATACCGATCGTCGGGGAATTACCAGAGACTGGTGGGACAGCCAGTGGTAGTTCGACGACTCTTGTGAGATAACTACTGCTCTGTACATACGACCCTAGCCGCTGGTAACCAGTGGTGGAAGCTGGGTAAGTGGTGAAAGGAGGAGGGTCGTAACATTACTATACAAAAACGCCTGAGTACTGCATTAAAGAAAAAGTATTGAAATTTTCTGATGAAAAGGGAGGTCCAGACCCCCAGGACCCCCCCTGTAACTGCCCCTGGAAAAGTAATATTAATATTGCATTAGCTAGGACAGTGAAACAGTTTATCATTATATCCACCTTGCAATATTTTCAGTTTGCAATCACAGTCTTTTCCTATTTATGAAACAAATCCATCATATTTTTTTTTATTAATTTTTCTTGGAATTTAACAGAAGATAAATTAAATAATCTGTGAATATGTTGATTTTTCCAACAGTTACAGCATTTATCTTACTTATGAGACACACCCACCAGGATAATGTCAATGTTAATCTTGATGCATGAGGAACTACAATGAAAACCTATAGGTACAGTCAGCCAAAGATGCACCGACCCCACCCTGGGTCTCGTGCTCGCCATTTTACCTGGCAATACTTGGTAAAGGAAGGCTGTATGTAAAGGTGATTATGATTGGTGGATTGTTCTCGGCTGTATCACTGTCAGGATAATTATTAAATAAACTATTCATTAATTTTTAAGGTCATGAGATGTTTCCAAATTTTTAGTATATTTGCTTAAATAATGAAGAAAATTATATTAATGAATTGGCAACTCAACTACAACCACCGCTGCCACAAGATTCTCACATCAAATTTTATTCATTATGTAAACAAACATACGAACATTTGGAAACTTTTCATGGCCTTAAATAAAAATGAATAGTTTATTATTATAAAAATGTTACCTATGGTTTGTTTAATATTTATCCTGACAGTGATACAGCCCAAAACAACCACCTTTACATACAACCTTCCTTTACCAAGTACTGCCAGGTAAAATGGTGAGCACGAGACCCAGGGTGGGGTCGGTGCATCTTTGGCTGACTGTACATCTATTAATTTACAATATATATATGCCCATGGAGACCTAATCAGACAAGAATAAATAGATAGAACAGACAGCCAGGCATGAAGGATGAGGTACTATGGAGAGAGACAGTCTGTCAACAAGGAAGTGACCTTTACCTTTGACCCCTGTGACCCCACTTGGACTTGCCTAACCTTAGTTAATTCCCAAGTGACCTACTGCCACATAGCAGTTAATCCATCAAGCAGACCCCACCGAACTTGGCCCGTAAACACACACAAGTTAAAATGTTTTGTGTTAAAATTATTCTTATAATAAATATTGCTTTACTCACCATAAACTGGCTACATTTACCTCAACACAGGGCCACATTAAATAGAATTTCTCAATTTGCGGGCCGCACAAAGACATGGTTTGGGCCGCAAGTTGCCCATGCCTGCTGTACTGTATTTTGATTGGAAAGGAAAATATAACTACTAGGCATCAGTTGTTCATCTATAATAATAATAACAACTAAGTCACTTTATAGAGAAGCAGCAATACACAGATAAGTAAAAGTATCACTCAGCATAAAGTGGGTGGGGCAACCCCTCAGAGACAGTTAGGAGTGTGACTACCACTATATTTAAGGGAAGATAATTATGATAAACAAGAAGCCCAAAGGAGTCAGGAGGTGGGTTATTGGAAGCTCCATCAAGAGCTCATTCAAGACCAGACTTGACCAACACTGGAGAAGGTTCAGGTACATTCAGGAGCCGGTGCATGACCAGTACTTGACAACAGTGTGTAACAAAGACGTGACCGATCGCCCAAGCAACTAACGAGCCGATCATTGGCAGAGGACAAAAATAAAATAACATTAAAGCATTTCTAATTACTGTAGCTAAGTTCACCAAAACTATTTGTCAATTATGAAGAATAGCATCGTGGTCTGTTTCTATCATGGTAGTTGAAGTATTAGGCATTAAGTACATAAGAATGGAGGAAACTGCAGAGGGCCTATTGGCCCATACTGGGCAGTCCCATTTACACCCAGCCCCTATTGCTCATATAACCATCCAACTTATGTTTGAAGCTATCCAGCGTATTCGAGTTAATGATGATATTTGGTAACTTGTTCCATTCATCCACTACTCTATTTCCATACCAGTGTTTACCTATTTCGCGCCTAAATCTAAATTTGTCTAATTTAAAACCATTGTTACGAGTTCGCTCCTGGTTTGATAGTTTGAGTACCTTTGTTTAGCCCTGACTTCCATTTATACACCTCGATCATATCGCCTCTCATTCTACATCTCTCGAGGGAGTGCAAATTAAGATGCTTTAACCTGTCTCTATACTCAAGGTTCCTAATGCCCGGGATTAGTCTTGTCATTCTCCTCTGGATTCTTTCTAAGGATTCTATATCCATTCTGTAATACGGTGACCAGAACTGAACTGCGTAATCCAAGTGAGGTCTCACAAGCCCAAGATATAGTTTTAGGATGACCTCGCTTGTCTTGTAACTAACACTCCTTTGTATGAATTACTTAAACCCAGGCAAAGTGAACCACTGAAACTTAACCTAACCAACCTTATCTCCCACTATAGTGTCCTGGGTTCAATCAGAGCCCAGTGAGACCTACCAAACATCACAGGTTTACTTCAGGTGCTCTGGTTTCCTCCTGTACCAACAATAAACCATCCAAATGAAAAAAAAAAAAAAAAATGACTCAACCAAAGTTTATGCACAATCTTGTCCAGCCCAAAAAAAGTTTCCAGCATATGGGTAAATGTGATTGGAAAAAAATTCAAAATAATCTAATTTCATTTGATCTTCATATTCTGGTAAAGTATTTGGTTAATTAAACTTCCTCACAACTCATTCAGGAGGCAGAGGAAACACCTGACTGAAACACCTGACTGATGGCACTTATCTCGAATATTCTGCCTTGAACACCTTAAAGAACAATTATGAGTGGGTGCCTATTAACCATAAACCTTATAATATCTGGCGTAACAAGCGTTCATTGTGAGAAAAGAACAGTGTTATAATAGGGTCATTAACAGGTATTTATCACAGCTGTTAAATGCCCCCAACCCTGGCTGACTACAGAGGCCCTTTAAATATTAGTTTCCTCACCTTTTACTGACGGAGTGTGAGTCTCTGCCTGCTATAGCCCTCTCATTGTTATTTTTGTTGGAATCTGAGGCAGCAACTGTTCCTGGTGGGACGTTTTGGGCCATTTTTTTTCATAAATTTACAGCTCGTCTGACTAGATGTTTTCCTTCCCAAGTAAATTCAAATATTACCATTGGGAAGTTGTCAGCCAATCAGCGCCCGCCTGGCCCTAACGTCTCGGCTCAGGTGAACCCGTGCCAGCCAATCAGCGCCCGCCTGGCCCATAACGTCTCGGCTCAGGTGAACCCGAACCCCAACTCACCGAACCCCAAACCTCAACCCATAGAGAAGTGACTGATATATTATTTACAGTAATGAGATCTGTCTATTATACTACTTAAGAATATTTAATTTAATCATATAAAATGTAGATATTTACAGGTGAAATATTTGTCACATGTTTCGCTGAACTATAAAATATTCATGTTATAAAATCCTGGAAAATTAAAATAAATACTTACAATTCCACCTGAGATTACTTATCTTTTCACCGCGTATCAGTATACTATCTAATATTGATGCCATTAAGTAATAGAATGGTCAGATTTCTTGACAAAAATATATTGCTCGTTTATCTCCATCAAGTTATGGGGTATGAGATTTTGTGTTCACACTCAGGATGGGATGGAGAAAGAAACTCACAATGTGCTCTCTATATACATGTTGTATTGGATGTACAATGCAGCTTGGTGCTGGGAAGGCAGCATGGTTACAAGCGTGATGTAGAGAGAGCTGGTTGGTGAGGACGCTCAGAGAAGGACAGCTTGGGTCGCCATGCTCGCCGGCAGGAGAGGACCGCCAGGCAGGCAGGAGGAGGAGCAGGCCAGGCAGGCGGGAGGAGTGTTGCTGGCTGTTGATGTAGGTAGGAAGGAGAGCAGATCACCACGAGGTCAGGTCTTAAATAGCGGGGGTAGGCGTGGCTAGCAGTTGACCCCGCCTGCGGGTGTGTGGGCGCTGGTTGACCTAGACCACGGCATACACTGGGGAATTGTGGGGTCGGCTAGGCAGCGACAAACAGCGTTGTAGGGGAGAATTCACGACAATACTCTCCCTCCAGGCTGTGAGACTTGTTGTCTGGGTAGGCCAGCACATGTGAGGCAGAACGGGGCGTGCGTGCCTCTGTGAGACAACGGCGATGGCGTGGATGAGCCGGTCGCTGGGGACAACTGTCTAGAGACACAATATCAGGAGAGAGGAGAATAAGGGTGGAGGCGATGAATTTTGTGCCCTCACGGTAGGCACAGAGTCGTCGAGATGCCTGCTGGGGTGTGGGCCTGGGTCAGGAGCAGGGGCTGCGCCAGCAGAAGCGGATGAGGGCTGACAGCAGCTGGGTCCACGAAGCAGGTGCAGGAGGACATTAGGAGTACCTGGGAGGTCCGCACTCAGGAACAGAGGCCGCATCAAGGGCGGCAGGGGTTACTGCTGGGCCGGGGTCGGCGTCTGAGGCAGGACGGGTGTGCTGGGGTCGGTAGGACGTGGTGCTTAGGGCAGGAAGAGGAGCTGGTGTCTGCTTAGAGTAGCAGAGCTGCTCTAGGATGTCTAACCTGCGGTGTAGAGACAGTAGCTGTAGAGCCGATGAGAGCTGCTTCTGGGTGGATAAGCCAGTCTTCCATGTTGCTTGAAGACTGGGAGCGTGATCAGTTTCTCCTCCATCCTGTGTGAGTGCGAATCTCCGGGAGTCACCATTTGTGGGGTATGAGATTGTTTGGTTCACACTCAGGATGGAATGGAGAAAGGAAACTCACAATGTGCTCTCTATATACATGTTGTATTGGATGTACAATGCAGCTTGGTGCTGGGAAGGCAGCATGGTTACAAGCGTGATGTAGAGAGAGCTGGTTGGTGAGGACGCTCAGAGAAGGACAGCTTGTGGGTCGCCATGCTCGCCAGCGGGAGAGAGGACCGCCAGGCAGGCGGAGGAGCGAGGACCGCCAGGCAGGCGGAGGAGGTGTTGCTGGCTGGTTGGTGTAGGTAGAAAGAGAGACAGATCACCACGAGGTCAGGTCTTAAATAGCGGGGGTAGGCGTGGCTTAGCAGTTGACCCCCGCTCCGTGGTGTATGGCGGCGCTGGTTGACCTAGACCACGAGGCATACACTGGTGAATTGGTGGGGTCGGCTAGGCAGCGACAAACAGCGTTTGTAGGGGAGAATTCCACTACAAAGTTATGGATCTGCGGGGTTGGAGAGACGTTTGAGGGGGAGAGACTTGAGGGGTATGTGACGTTGGTTCACACTCAGGATGGGGGAGGAAGGAAACTCACAATGTGCTCTCTGTATACATGTTGTATTGGATGTACAATGCAGCTTGGTGCTGGGTAGGCAGCATGGCTACAAGCGTGATGTAGAGAGAGCTGGTTGGTGAGGACGCTCAGAGGACAGCTTGTGGGTCGCCATGCTCGCCGGAGGAGGTGTTACTTGCTGCGGCTGTAGCTAGAAGAAGAGAGAGGTCACCACGAGGTCAGGTCTTTTATAGCGGAGGTAGGCGTGGGTAGATAGTTGACCCCCGCTCCACGAGGCACACACTGGGGAATTCGCGGGGGTCGGCTACTCAGCGACAAACAGCGTTTGTAGGGGAGAAATCCACTACAGACTTGCGATGTATCTAGACGGATTCCCAAACTTAGGCGTATTAAACCAAAGGAACTTAATTAAGAGCCTTGAGCCCTAATTGACAATGTAACGACGCTAAACCTTAGCCCCTCCTTGTCATGGAGGACTTTAATTATGGTGACATCGACTGGAAAAATAAATTCATGCCAAACGACCTAAACAACCCAGCCACTCTTTTTGTAGAAACTCTGTTAAAGATCTCACTCACTGCAGAGGGGAGCTACACCCAAACCGCTGGACCTCATCGTAACTTCGTTCATGGCAAAAGCAGGTCCAGGTTCAAATATTACAAGGGAAATTACGATGGGATGAGGGAGGAGATGAGGAGTATACACTGACCTGTAACTTACTAAGAAATAAGATCGCAGATGCTACTTTTCTTTTTTTCTTTTATCCTCTTCACTACTGATCGGCTCGTTCGCCGCTGGGTGATCGGTCACGTCTCTGTTGCGCACCGTTGGCAAGTACTAGGCATGAACCGGCTCCTGAATGTACCCCAGAAAGGGCAGTATAAATTGCCCATTCTGGGGTCACTAATCCTAAGGGGATAACTTAAATCTACTATAGCATCCGTCTCCTCTCGACCTACATAGACGAAGCGAGGGTCGCTACCTGGTATGACAAAATCATGTGTTTCATGATTTATTCAAATCCTGAAAGCCAGCTTCAGTGTCGCCATGACTGTCCTCCTCATCTCCTTCGTTTCCTTCGTCAGGAACATTAGCAGAGCGTCGCCCAGCGTCGACTCCTGCCATGGTTAGATTTAAATGGAATCCAGGTCTTATACACTGGGGCAGAGAGGTGATATGTAGGCCAGCGGTGTCCGGATAACAGGGACTTGTGTGAATGGGCTGAGTTGTTTGAAGTGAGCCTTGAGTAACACTGATTAGTTCCCCCCTGTGGTGTGCTACAACTGCTTCGGGGTCAATCATGTGGCGAAATACTGTCACAAGACAGCCACCTGCAGCATCTCCGCAGGGATGCATAGCACGAGGAGCTGCCCCACCAAGGAAGCTGCCTCTCGGGAGGGGAGAGAGCAGGCCTCCCCGCCAAGGAGGCAGTGTCCCAGGTGCAGGGAGGGGGGTGTGACGGCCTGGCACCCCGGTTGTCCTGGGAGGCCGCCCCCATCCATAATAGCGGACCCACTCAGTGATGCCAAGACGGCCGGATCGCCTCCACCACCTGAAGTCAACAGCCACAGTGTCTCTCCTTCGTAAGCCAATGCAGATCAGGTTAAAGCCTGCCAAGTAAGTGTACCAATGAACAATGGCAGTGATAGTGTCAGTGGAGCTTCTGAAGGAGCTGGTGCCTCCTCTCATAATGATGTGAACTTGAGGGCGACAAAGTTAAGAAAAAACCCAGAAATTCAAGACGTGGGTTGGGTCAAATGATGAGCAGGACAGGAGGGGGCATGCAAGAGCCAGAAACCAAGCAAAGGCAGTATGTAGAAGGGTTGAAAAGGAGTTCCAGAGGCTGGTTGCAAGTGAGGTCAAGTCAAACCCAAAGACGTTTTACCGCTATGCAAAGTCGAAATTAAAAACGTGAGTAGGAGTATCAGACCTGAGGCTTGAAGATGGTAGTTACGCTGATTCTGACTAGGATAAAGCTGAGGCATTGAACAGCTTCTTTTCCTCGGTGTCCTACAAGAGAGGATGCGATTAACCTTCCTGCATTTGAGGACAGACTGTTCGACACAGCACTGACCCACATTGTGTTCACAGAAGAGGGTATTAGAAATAAACTGTCCAGGCTAAAGGTCCATAAGAGTCCCGGCCCTGACATGGTGCATCCTAGAGTGCTAAGAGAGTTGTGTAACGAGCTTGCCGAGCCCCTGAAGATCCTGTTTTGTAAATGCCTGGATGAACAAAAGGTCCCCAGTGAATGGAAAGTGGCTTATGTGAGTCCTATCTTTAAGAAGGGCGATCGGCACTCCACGAACAACTATAGACCGGTGAGCCTGATCAGCATAATATGTAAAGTACTTGAGAGTATTATCAGAGATGCCGCGATGGAACATCTAATACGAAACAATCTTGTAAAGGATTGCCATCACGGTTTTATGCCGGGGCGCTCCTGCTTAACACAATTGCTCAAGGTATTGGATATTTGGACCCATATTCTGGAACGGGGTGGTAATATCGACAATATTTACCTAGATTTTGCCAAGGCTTTCGACAGTGTACCCCACGAAAGGCTGAAAATCAAACTGGAAGGGTACGGAATTCGGGGAAATGTCCTAGCATGGATAGAAGACTTTCTACATGACCTAAAGCAGTGTGGTGATTAATGGCACGAAATCGTCATCCGTGACCTGTCACAAGGGGTACCACAGGGCAGTGTATTGGGCCCGCTGTTGTTTGTTTGTTTCCATAAATGACATGCCTGACGTTGTACACCTCCATACAAATGTTTGCCGATGACGCCAAGTTACTTCGGGAAATAAAGAACCAAGCGGACTGTGAAGAGCTGCAGAAGGACCTCTGTGGGCTCCAGGAATGGTCGAAGAAATGGCTGCTGAGATTCAATGTCACGAAGTGTAAGAGGATGCACCTGGGGCATACCAACGGTAAGGAGGCGTATCATATGTCCCAACGGGATGAAGAAACTGCACTAGTTGAGAGTGAATGTGAGAAGGACCTAGGTGTGTATGTTGACAATGAGCTGAAGTTCTCGGGCCATTGCGACAAGAAGGTAGATCAGGCATATAATTTTTTGGGTCTTATAA